ATGTATAGTATAACAACAAATTACTAAAAAGAAAGAAAGGAAGGAAGAAGGAAGAGAGAAAATAAAAAGACTAAGCTCACATATATATGAGCATATCAAATGATTCTTGGGTCTTCATTTGACTTATTTAAACATTTTTTTATGAAGAATGGAAAGGGTATGTGCATTGTTATTTAAAGAGACCTGCCCCCCATGGAATGGTCTGATGTCCTATTCACCCCATGGCACGAATGTATCACACAGCCACACTGTGGAGTTAGAGTGGCAGCCTTAATCATTCTATAAACTCTGAGACCCTTTCTAGGCTCAGGGAGTAAAATGATGCGTGACCAATGGGCTGTGTTTTTCCATGGACATCAGAGGAGGGAGAAGCAGCATAAATGCTGCGTCTATATCATCCCATAGCTGGGGCACATGCATGATTTCTAACTCCCTTTATATCATGGCGGGGGGGGATGGAAATCAGCATTTTGTTTCTGGCTTCATAATGTCATCGGTGTTAAGCCTCCTTGACTTCCTTGATCATCCCCTTAAAAAGACCATCACTTAGTCCCAGGAAAGATTTAAAGTCCAATTCAAGCAAAGTAAATGGTTTCTTTTTATAACCCAAGATGATTCGACATGTTTACTTTCATCCTTAGAAAACTCTCCTGCCTGTTCTTTCCCCACCGTGTCCAGAATAACTGATTTTTCCCTCCAAATGCACTGTGACTTATTGCTAAGATGACTCCTTCTTCTGACATAATTCCTTCCCCTTGAACGATAAACAGTTCTCTTTAGAGGCTTGCCCTTGACAAGGGAGTCCGAACTGAGAACGGTCCGCCTCAGTCTCCTCATTTGAATCCACTTTGGGAACCCACTAATTATTTTCAGTACTTTGTAGAACTTCAGTAAATTACAGTATGCACATAAGCTCTCTACATCATTTAAAGGGCTGAAAGCTGAATGACCAGCACACCCGAGGAGTGGTATACTGGTTGGAAAGTTGTGGCCACAGGTGGTTTGCTCGGAGTGGTTGAAAAGAGATTGAACTCTATCTGCATCTGGATCTTACTGCCTCCTTGTGAGGTGTTGATGAGTGCAGATCTGGCCCACCCAACTGGATGAAGCCCTAGAGAGGAGAAGAAGTAGGGATGAGTTGTGGTGTTGATGCTTTGAGAGTCGGAAAATAGGATTCAAGGGCAGCAGATGGTTTACAGATTCACTTTGAGATTTACAGCCTCAGCCTTTGGTTTTGCTTCAGGAGCATTTTCTTGTAGGCACTGTTTTCACAAATTTCAAGGCCAACCAGAGAGGTATTTTATTTTTCCACAAACTGAGGAAAGCGTTATTTATTTATTTCAGTGGTACTGAGAACTCTGTGTGTGGTGTTCATAAATGTTTTTCTCATCTACCTATTTATTGATAGTCCTGTGGTATTTTCCCATTGCTCCTTCATATACATTTTTAGGATTCTATTTCCATGGCAGGGGATGGCCACATAAGCATGTGGCAGGTGATTAATTGTGTAGTGGAGGAAGAGATCTGTGCGCATACATATGTGTATCATAAGATAATTAAAGGGACCTATTCATTTATTTTCCATTTGAACTAAGAGCATAAACTACCCAGCTGTCAAACCCACTGTTATTTGTTCACTATAATGGCCATCTTGCAGATCAACTCTATTAATTCTATTAATTAATAAAATAATTATTTTTATTAATTTTATCGTGTTTCTACTATGTACCAGACTCTGGGGTAAAATAAACCTTGGGGTGCTTAATGAGCATGACTGATGCAATTTCTGTCCTAATGAGATCGTTCATCTAAGAATTTGTTTAAAAAGGAAAGTCTTTTACATGGTTACCAATATTCATGGAATTTGAATAAAATAAGTTGATAAATTCTTGGTAATTGGAAATGCCTTATCTGTGTGCCATCATATGTTTCCAGAGCAATACCAGAGCATTTTTATGATGGAATTTGCATCTAATCAGTTTTTACAAACTAAAAATATACAGCCAACAACACGTACTCTAACAATGTGGTTTTAGGAAGTTGTGAGCAAATGAGCAAATAGTAGTATGCCTTATTTCATACTAATACTGTTTCTGAAAAATACAAAAGTAAAACTTAGTTATTAGTCATTACTGTTTTTTGAAAGAAAGTTAATAATTGCTTTTTCTAACCTTTGAATTGAACTACCTACATTACTTGCATCAGATTGGTTCTGCAACTTTTGGTCCCATTTATGTTCTGTGAATGCAAGATTAGAGAATGTGCTTAATGTCACATGGGAGCATTTCATCCACTGAAGTAAACATTGGTGATAGAAGATGTTTGCCTCTAAACAATAATGCATCATAGCATGTAGAGTGTCTAACAAATATAAGGGTTTGCTCTAAACTCTTAGCTATCACTTTCATAGCTGGAGTAGCCTTTTAAAAAGCCAGGGATGTCTAACCATTTCACACATTTTACTCTGGTATAGAAATACTCTGGAATTTTGTAAAGAAATCAAGAGCTGTTGATTTTTAGAGAAGTCCATTTCTGACACTCTTTTCCTCCAACATCTATTACTTCAAAGTCAAAAAAGCATGTTTAACCCCTGAGCCAAGCAAGGTGGTGGGGTGTCTCTCAAAGCTGCCCAAACAATATAAAACTGCTAACAAGAGGTGTTTGTGAGTTGTTAGCCTTCTTGTTCTTAACTCACTCAACTCTCAGAAACTCCAGAAACAGAAATAGCAGGGACCAAGCCTCCTGGCAGATGTGTTATTTTAATCTTTTTTTTTTTTTTTAAAGATTTATTTATTTGACAGAGAGACAACGAGAGAGGGAACACAAGCAGGGGAGTGGGAGAAGGAGAAGCAGGCCTCCCGCCGAGTAGGGAGCCTGAGGCGGGGCTCCATCCCAGGATCCTGGGATCGTCACCCAAGCCGAAGGTAGACGCTTAATGACTGAGCCCCCAGGTGCCCCTAATCTTAAGTATATTTGAGAAAATGTTTGGAAGTTAGAGGTCCCTGACATGAGCCACAGTGGCCATTGGATGATGCAAGGAGGGCTTCTTTCTCCAGTATATGCCTTCTAGGAATAACATGAGGGAAGAAGGCAGCCTAGCTTGGAACCTCCAGAATAAAAGTAGAAAGAGGGTAAATAAATATCTCTTGGGACAAAAAGTACAGAATCTAGGAAAGATGGTTCAGCGTTACTAGATAAAAGGGAAATGTGGGACTTAGGGTAAGAGACAGTTGTGGCATTTTTCAAAAGCAAACAGCGATATAAATAAAAGTCAAACATTTTATAATTTCTGGTATGAGAAGTTTAAATACAAGTTGGTAAAGTTTTCCTAACTTGTTTAGAATCAGATAGAGCTGACTCTGCTAGATCCGTGACTTGAAGTTGGCTTAACACAAGCCTCAGATCAACAACTGTCAGCATTTTTGTACTTTAAAAGGTCAGTCACTGGGGCGCCTGGGTGACTCAGTCGGTTAAGCGTCTGCCTTTGGCTGAGGTCACAGTCCTGGGGTCCTGGAGAGCCTGCTTCTCCCTCTCCCTCTGCAACAGCATCCCCCCCGGCCCCGCCCTGCTCATGTCCTCTCTCTCAAATAAATAAAATCTTAAAAAAAAAAAAAAGGTTAAGCATTCTTATCTGATCCTTTAAAATTGTAGCAAGGCTGAAGAAGACTTTGCATCACAATGTAATGGATCTACTCTTAGAACATTTGCATGACTCATGATGTTCTTTCTGTTTTTGAAGATTTTGCAAAGCAGTAGATTCCCCTTCACGGGAATTGAAATCTATTTCCTGCTTCTTTCGTGTGTGGTGCACTATGAACTGCCTCTCTGTGTCTCGCGGTGCAATATTCTCTTTCTTCCACCTTCACTTAGCACGGGCTCAAAATCACGACAGTGTCACTGGACTACAATAACTGCTAAGTAAATTTTCCTGTGAATTCCTGCCTTTTTAGTTTATTTCTGTACAGCCATTTTGAATGGGTACGGAAAGTAACATCTACCTCATAACAATTAATGCCTTGTCTACACCTCCCATTACCGTAGTGACCGCTCTTTGTGTGGAAAACAGAACATTTTTATTTTGATGCTGTTCTTGCTTACAGATTCAACTCTTACATGGACATGAAATGTATCCCTGTGTTGAAATCAACCGTTATTTTTAAGGTCGCCCTGCTTTCTTTCTTTTAGGTAGTATATGAAATCGATCCTGAAATCCACCTAGTCTGTAAAAGGGCTACAGGGAATATAGAAAGAAAGCTGCTTCTAGGTAAAGAGGCAGGAGGTGTGGTGCAAGAGGAGAGCACTGGTCTTAACTCAGCTCTTCCTGGCCCTGTTAATGGGATGGAAAATATGCTGAACTTGACAATCCCAGTGTGGGACCACTGGCAACTGTCTTCACCACTGTGAATCTCAACTTTGTTGCCTAGAAAACGGAGATAATACCCCATTATCTGGAAAATGGGGAGGATGTCTACCTCACCTGTTTCTTAGGGATGTTGAGAGGGTTAAATAAGCCAATAGGTGAGAAAGTGCTGTGCAAACTGAAAAGTGCAGTCCAAACATCAGATTCCACAGTGGTAACTTTTACCAGGTAGGAAGACTAAGCAGTAGACTCCGTGCAAAAAGCTTCAATGCGACCGCTCTTTCCTTCTTTGGAAATCTCTCCTCAAACTGCGTCTGACTCATATATGTTTATAGTCTTCAAAGCTCTTTGATTTAGAGCTGGAACCACTTCATTGTAAATATATAGCACTATGTGCACATCACCCTCGAGGCCAGTGTCTAGCTCACTGTAGAAAAGCCTTTAGTTCAGGGGAAAAAGACTGGAGGCAAGTCTTAGTGATTGCTCACACGTTAGTGACAAGACCAGTAGCCCAGAGCCGACACTCACTAGGCACCTACACAAGATTCTCTTGTAACCAGCATTAAATTATGTCATGAAACCTTTTAAAATTAATCAAAATTAACATCTTCTCTTTTGTTTTACCTTTTCTTTTTAAAAGCCGCTTACGATGTTTTCTCAAGCCCTGCGACATCAGATGAGCCTGAAATGTCAGAACCCCACACAGGTACATCCAGCTTCTCAAGGCTTTCTTTGGATGCCAGATAATTCTGACAGCACTGCACCTACTTCTCGCTTTGATCTTTGCAGAGTGAGAAAGCACAGCCTTTAGAGCTCTGCGGGAGGAAAATGGTTGTCTGTGTCAGGGAGATGAATTCCACCCATTTCTCTGTTGAGCGGTTATTTCTTTATATCCATCAGTAATAATCTCTGCCACATGTGGGAGATGCAGATAGATTTGGTTGCCACTGAGCCAAAGTCATGTAATGGCCTATTGCTCTATTATCAATAGCATTCGAAGAAGGTTTTAGGTTGTTAGAGAGTTTTCTATAGAGCAGTGGTTCTCAAATGGGGATGACTTTTCTCTAGGCATTTGGCAATGCCTAGAGACATTTTCGATTGTCCCAACTGGGGAAGGTGGTAATGACATCAAGTGGGTAGAGACCAGGGATACTGCCAAACCCCTGCAAATATACAGGATAGCCCCTCTCCCCCCACCCAACAAGGAATTATCCAGCCCTAAATGGCAGTGGTACTGAGGTGAAAAATCCTGCCCTAGAGCAATCATGTCATTCATTTGTCTATTGAAGTCCAGTTGGGTCTAATCTTTAACATTCACTCACTGATCCTTCTACAAATGAGTTTAACTCAATCTAATAGTTCCTTTTAGCAAGAGTTTATTAAGCACCATACTAAACTAGGTACTGTGAGAGATTCAGAGTAAATATGACTGGTCTCGGGCGCCTGGGTGGCTCAGTTGGTTAAGCGACTGCCTTCGGCTCAGGTCATGATCCTGGAGTCCCGGGATCGGGTCCCGCATCAGGCTCCCTGCTCAGCGGGGAGTCTGCTTCTCCCTCTGACCCTCCCCCCTCTCATGTGCTCTCTCTCTCTCTCTCTCTCATTCTCGCTCTCTCAAGTAAGTAAGTAAATAAAAATCTTTAAAAAAAAATATGACTGGTCTCTGCTAGACGTAGATATATATCTTATATTTTTTGTATATTTAGCCTTATCTTAGCGTTATTTGTGCCATGATAAAGGCAAATAATTTTAAATAGCAGCAGAAAATAAGGGGAAAAAAATGAAATAGAATGCTAACAGTGGGTTTGGCTAGTAGTTAAGAAACAAAAGTGAGAAACCAGAAAAACCAGTTGAAAACAAGTTAAATATATGCAACATTGTTTTTATCATGGTTTATAATGTTTAAAGTATGTATGTTTTGAAAAGTGAGTTCATCTTCAGCTCCTAATGAATCACTAGTTTAAAAATGTTGGTCACCTCTCCTTCAAGTGTTCATGATACTTTTCCCCATATGAGGCATAATTTATTACTCATGAATTTGTGTTTTATTCTTGGGGCCTTCTGCTTTTATAAATGTTGACATTTATTCCAACAGCAACAAGTGATCCATTTCTGGACTCTGTCCCACCTAAAACTTCTAGAACTCTTGAACAGCCAAGGGCAACACTGGGTAATGTTTTTAACAGAAAAACCCAACTTTATTTTCCATCAAAAGAAAATCCATGTGAATGCCATTCTTCCAAATGACCATTTCATTCCATCACATCTAATCATTTATTTTGTTCTTACTTCTGAATGTATTTTTTTTTTTTTTTTTTTTGCTGTAATGCAGGCAACTTATGTTCCATTTTGGGCATTCTCTCTCTCTCTCTCTCTTTTGAACTGTAATAGATGATCATTTTTTCCATCTTTAAAGGAATGAAAAGCTTTGAAAACTGCATGGACCTCTTCGTCATCCATATCATCTCATTACATTCATGTGTTTGTGGCCTGTATCCTCTCTCTTCCATGCACTGAGCCTGCCTGGAGTCAGCCACTGAACAGTTGTCATTCTGACCTTTTCTCTTCTTTAAATCATGATTTCATCCACCAGCTTTCAAGACTACATGCATTTTTCATACTTAATCATGTACGTGTAGCATGTGCTTTGTAATACCATCTAAAAGCATGTTAAAACTCCTAAAATACCTCATTGTAACTGGAATTACTTGGTGGGTGGGGTGTTTGTGTTTTCAGCTCCAAGTGAAACACCATTTGTCCCTCAAAAACTGGAAATCTTTACCAGTCCTGCAATGCCACCTACAACATCTGGTAACTAATGACATTTTTATGGTTGTGTACTTTGAAAGAACAGAGAAAGTGTTGTTGGACCTCCAGAATATTTTCAATAGTAAACATTTCCCTTCATTCTCTACCATGAAATTCTTCCAAGAACTGGGTTATCTGTCAAACTTTCCCTTGGGATAATTCTCAAAGAATTCCCATAATCTTGGTGTCCATATATTTAAAGAGATATTTTCTTTCTGTAATCCTTTCAACTTTGCTTACCAGAAAATTGCAATGGAACTACAGATGATAATTATTTTGGGATATATTCCCTTCTCTTTAGCACAATTAGATACCACCTGGTCAGAGTATTTTTCTCAAAGTCATCTAAATATAAAGAGCACCAAGTAGGTTCTGCAATGAGGAAATATGGGTAAAAGAACTAACACAGCCTATATTCTCTAATAGAAAATTATTTGAATAATGAAGTCCATTAACTCCTGCAGAGGCTAGTCATGAGCTACAGAATTAAAGCAGTTCGGAACTTCCATTCTCAAATCCCAAATATTTGTGCTTCTCCCCAGTTGTTCAGTAAATTATCTTTTGCGTTCTTAATTCTACCTTGTGTTCTTAAATCCCTTAAGAGTAGCCACTTCCCAGTACTTGTAGCTCAACAATGTACCTTCAGTTTTTATATAGACACTTAATTCATTTTGGCCCCACAACACATTTATTGAGCACCTACTGTGTATAAAGCACTGTGCTGGGCATTTTGGGGATACAAAGAAATAAAAAGTAGTTCTTGTATTCAAGAAGTTTACAAATTTACAGTTATAACCTGATTGGCCCCTGAAAAATATTTCTTATCAAAGCTATATTAAATCTTCTTTCAGCTGCCCAGCAAACTACATCTATCCCTTCTACACCTAAACGACGCGTCAGGCCCAAACCACCAAGAACCAAACCTGGTAAATAACTGCCTCTTTAACCTCTCAGGGTATTTAATTCCAAATAGAGAATGTCCATCTCCTTATCATAAGAAGAGGTTATATGATTCTATAGGTCAAATTTTCTTTACAAAATTTGAAAATTACTGAAGATGAATAATTCAAAATAACAGAAGTCAATTTTTCAAGAAGACTTTATTGAAAATTATGTCAGTGATGTTCTTGCGTGTGAATTTTGGTATAAACCCAGAAACAAGTCCTAATGTCACAGTGCTAGAGAGTAAGATATATAGTGAAATCCATTTCCTTGGTATGCATGTATATTTAGGTGTTTATTAGGTTGACAGTCCTTGTTTTGGGTGCCTGCTATGTTTTCAGCTTTGAACAGGGGCAGTGGCTAACAGGAGAGACCATGACTCCCTCTGTCCAATTGCTTATAATCTTAGAAAGATCTTATGGCATAAAGAATGAGATCAACATAAAACTATACAATCTTCTTATGAGACTATAATACTTGTATGGAAGCTCAGAAAAAAAAAGAGTTGAGGATGTAAGTCTCAAAATATGTGTAGGGTTCAGACAAATTAGAAGGCAGAGGGAACAACATAAATATACATTATGGCACAGAATTTGCATGGGACAGCTAGCTTCTCTGGAAGTAATATTTTTCATTGTCAAATAGTACACTCAGAATCATGCTCAACAAATCAAGTTTTGCTTATTCCATGGTAGGATAAATACAGTTTTTTATAGCCTTTACTACTATGACTGAACTTATAAATTATTTGCCAAAACTTGTACTCACTGCATTTGTAAACCCTGACAGCTAAATATGGCAGGATTTCGAAAGGGTCATTTAGTTCTTCTTGGCATGATAGCTTTTTACTGTCTCTAGGATATCTTAATTTTTTTTCTCCTTTCCATCACCAGAAAGAACCACAAGTCCTGGAACAATTACACCTAAAATTCCTAAAAGCCCTGAACCTACATGGACAACGCTGGGTAATGATATGTCCTTGGTAGATGCGTTACTTCATTTGACCATGAAAATCCAGTGCTTTAGCTTTTGTGTAATGTCTCCGTCTCTGTTCTAATTGATTCATTTTAACAATATTGAGAATCTCATAAAGTACAGCAGCTTGGTGGCTTTCATGGTTTTCGGTAGGTGGCCCCACAGTCAGTACATGTGAACTCCACATCCAGCTATCATCCCGTTCCTTGGAACGCTGGCAAACCACCATGGCCGCCTCCTCTTCCATCCACCATTGTATGTGAAGCGGAGTCTTAAACACAGTCCTCCACTTTTTTTGAGGGAGGCCCTCAAGTTCAACCTCAGACTTCCTTTGGAGGAACAGTATTCTATTATGATGTTAGTAGAATTTCTTTATACTGCAGACCATGGCATTTTACCTACCAGTGATTATTCATTTTAAAACATGCCTAAAGACTTGGATGTGGCTGAGAAATGTGAAGTAAGGGTACAAGATGATTATATTGATTTTTTTTTAAATAATGCAATAGAATAATTTTCTTTGTGTAGTTACTGTGGCTATTTATAGCAATGCTGTTTCTGTTAGTTCAAATATACTCTTGAAATGTTTTTTTCCAAACCAGATGAAAATTTATCACTGTTTTTCCATTAAATGCTGGTCTGTGAAATAGTCTTTCAAATGGAATATTTCCAAAAACCTTCCAAGATGATGGGTTCATTCCATTTAAAGTATAGGTTTTCCTTTTGTGGTTTTAGACACTGAAATGCTTAAATATTGATTTGTTGATTATTTGCTTTACTTTTCCAGCTCCCAGTAAAACACAATTTATTTCTTTGAAACCTAAAATTCCTCTCACCCCAGAAGGGACACCCACCAAACCTGGTAATTACCCTGAACTTTTTTTTTTAATTCCAAAAGTAGGGTTGAAAAATTGTTTCATGCCACTCTTTGGAGCAATGACTTCTGATTTGTATTTTGTTATTTGATACAATTTTTCCATGGAAAGTGCAAAAATGCATTGAAATGATCTCATTATAACCAGCCCCTCTGATATTATCACAGTGTTGTTCTGAGCTGTTGGGTGGATCTTTCTGTTCATGACCATCACAGAAAATATAGAAATAGAGGGATGTGAGTGATTGAGGACTCCATTGTCTAGGACCAAGAAATAGTTTCCAATACCAGAGTGGACTGGAATTCTGATCACACTGAACAATAGCCTTTCAGCATGAAAGGGGAGAAGTGTTTCCATCCCCTAAAAACTCTGCCTTTGTTTTAGGGCTTCTCAGTTCTCTAGCTGCAAGATTAGAAAAAGTCGGATTCTCCTAATGCTCCATGACTTCTTTCTGAGATGAAGCTGATTTCTGAACACTGACTTTTGTTTACTTCTCAGGAGATAAAGATGTTTTGCTGAAGAAAGAAGGCTCTTTTGCAGGGAGAGGTTATTTCATTTACATAATTAATAACAGAGACAGTCCCCTGCATATAGATGGCCGGACATATTGAATGACAAAACTTTTCATTTTTTTCTATCTATTCAGAATCTATACAGCAGTTTAAATATTGACTTCTAAGTATCCCCTTATATGCAGGAACTCTGTCAATACAAATCATTTTCCTCCAAATTTTAAACCCTTATCTCCAGGGTTTTTCTCACTATCACATTCTATGGATTTTTCATTAATGGGTGTTTACAAAGTTGGATCATTAAAACAAAAGATTTTCTACTTAAATGGGTATGATTTATTTTTTTTTTTTTGCAGTGAAATGGGTAAGGAAGAAAAATGTAACTGCTCAGAAAAAGAAATCTCAAGACTCCTTTTAAAGAGGCAGTGAGATTTCCAGGTGTAGGTGTCAGACTGGAGGAAATTGGGGATTAGGCAAAGGGAGTGTAGTTGACTCTGTGACCATGGGTGAGGTCTCCAAGTCAGAGAAATGGAATGAAGAAGTATTCTTACTCAGAGGGGTTATTTGGAGAAAGAAGCATAGCTAATGAAACTCAAGAACCTTAACAGTTTAAATCAAAGAACTTCAACAGCTGTATGAGAGAAGGGTTTAATGTACGTTTATTTAAAAATCATGCTTAGAGGGCTTTGGAAAGAGGTCATAACTATTATACTTAGGCTGTACTTTGAAGAGAGGGCTATTACCAAGCAGATTGAGACATATTACCGAGTGTTTAGACCACCAAATATAAATAAATGTCTCTCCAATCTAAGTATTCTGTTATTACAAGATAAAATTTGAAAAGAGCAAAAAAAAAAAAAAAGCCTTCAGATATTCCTAACAGTTTAAACATGATTAGTTACATTAGTAATTTCACTGGTTTCTAAAGAAATGTTTAGAAGAAATTCATTCATACAAATAAGGGGAGAGGATGTGTTCTTATCATTCTAAGCTGTTTGAGCAAAGAGACTTCTTAATTTGACACTTCCTTTTACCATGTGGCAAATTATTTGAAAGCAAATTATTTGAAAGCTATATTCCTCTGATTTCTACCTTCTGATCACCTAAGAATAGCCTCGCTTTTCCCCCTCGCATGAAGTATTATGACTTCAAATCTGCGCCTAAATTTACATCCACTTAAGTTGACCTCTGGTGGTCTGAGGCAACACAGAGTAACTAATCTCCACAAACCAGTGCTTGGGTTCTAGCTCTTTAAAATGTATTTATTTTTACTTTAGGGCAGGCCACCATTACAGCTCTGTGGAAGATTTCTGTTGCTAGCCAAGGTTCAGGAGAGCAAAGAAACCACCAGAAGCTTTTTTTACTTGAGTGATTCATTGTTTTTCCCCGCCTTCTCCTCACACGCTGTTATTTTTCCATCTCACTTTCCATGCAGATTGCTTTTCCTTTGGTTTTCCTTTGTGGTTAAACAAACAAGTAAAAACCCACATTGGGTTTGGCTTGTTTTATAACATAATCCACCCCTTTCTTGAAAATCCCACCATCTACCATGTCCCAACTTGTCTGCCTCCAATGAAAATTGCTTCCTTCATAGTTAACCTTTAAGATGGCAGGGACATTCGGCTCTTCAGGCTTTTAACAGACTAGGAAAAAAAAAAAAAGGGAGAGACCTCCAATTTTAGATTTTTTTTTTTACACAGTTCTCTGACACAGTGGATAGAATTGTAAATTTTTCTCATTGCTAGTCACAAATCGTGAGCCGGGTGTAGTAAACCTGACACCCAAGCTGTTGAACAGCCTTTATCCCAAGTGCAAACTTTACAGAGTTACCAAATAGACTAGGAAAAAAAAAAAAAGGGAGAGACCTCCAATTTTAGATTTTTTTTTTTTACACAGTTCTCTGACACAGTGGATAGAATTGTAAATTTTTCTCATTGCTAGTCACAAATCGTGAGCCAGGTGTATTTTTCTTTTGTGCTGAGGTGAGTGGTGTAGTTATTTGCTTGCCGCTTAACATTTTTATTCCTTTATCTGCAATACCTTAAAATTATAAAATAGAGGAAATCTTGTCAGAAAATGTATTTGTTTTTAATAAACGCTGACTTTAGTATTTCTCTGTACAGGTGAATTGGAAGCTTAACTGAGGGCCCCATACCTATTTGATCTCCGTTTCAGTCAGGAACTCAAAAATGCAGATTTTTCTTTAGAAAATTCATAAGACCACATTCTTTAATCTCTGGAAATTCTAAAAGATGCTACAAGTAGCAAATCTTACTTTTTCACAGTTTTAGAAGGCAACTTGGTAGAAATTAAGACATGAATTACAGCCTCAAAATTTCAAAAAGAATTTTTGTTGCTATTTTCAGATATGGACTTTTTTGATAGTTATTATATTTAATGTATTGACACTTACTATTTATTTACCCTATCTCCTGTAGAATCTGAGACACCCAGACTCCTTCCACCCTCTCTCTTTTTCTCTTTTTCTCTTACACACACACACACACACACACACACAGACACACACGATTTTTGCCTTGCTATGTGTACTTCGATCTGATATATCACTTCAGCTTTGCCATTTATCTATTTTAATCTATTCCTGGATAAGTTCTTGAGAAATAAAAAAAAAATTTATATTTGGCCACAGACATGCTAATGCCACCTTTCAGTAACACCTTGTACCTATAATACATTGTTTTCAGAATAAATGAAAATTCTCTACCTGCAATATTTGTTGGTATATTTTCTATTTTCTAGATACTAAAGAGTCTCTACTTACTTCCCCAAATCTTTCCACAGCCCCTAGTCCAGAAACGTCATCCTGGTAAATGTAGTATAAAAAATATTAAGTGGGGCGCCTGGGTGGCTCAGCCGTTAAGCGTCTGCCTTCGGCTCAGGTCATGATCCCAGGGTCCTGGGATCGAGCCCCACATCGGGCTCCTTGCTCCGCAGGAAGCCTGCTTCTCCCTCTCCCACTCTCCCTGCTTGTGTTCCCTCTCTCGCTGTGTCTCTCTCTGACAAATAAATAAATAAAATCTTTTAAAAAAATATAAGTGACAAAATGATTTAAGTTCTTTTACGCTTGTTGGTGGGTGCTATGTTAATTAATTCCTTCTGTAAGAAAAAAATGGCGAAGAATCTTCACTTTTTCTTTTTCAAAAATTGAGTTCCTTTTTTATATTCTTCTTGAAAGAGAAGAATTCTTTTCTGTAGAATAAGAAATCTATTAGATGATCATTATAAAAGCACAGATATTGTAACCAAACTGTATTCAGCATGAAGTATCATTTAATTACTGCCAATTTGAAAAACTTTGGAAGGATTGTTATCTTTCAGAATATTTAAATAATATTGTTATTTTATTCAGTGTTTGATGAAATCTGAGATTACTTTTTGACTTTGATTTGCTAACCAGAATGGACTAATTTTCATATGTAAACCAATTTGTTCACCAGCAATAAATGCTAGTTAATATGAGGAACAACATAGGAACACTTGAGGCCCTTTATACCTTTTTAAACCACATGTTCAATTCCTTTGTGTTGTGTGTGTGTGTGTGAAAGAGTATCAGGTCCAGCCAGGTTGAAAATCATCCAAAACTAACAGATCTCAGACCTGCTTATAGGTCTGATGTTTCTGTTGCCTCTTCCCACTTCCTTGGATGAACCTCACCATCCTACGTGAAAACAAAATGACAGGTGATGGGACACTCTGGCCAACCTTGGAGAGGCTATCCTGAGCTCCCCTTAGAGCAATATCTCCTCAGGCACTAGGAGGAAACTTCAGAATATTGGGTAGTGGAGAAAATAGCTAAAAATCAACAAAAAACTGAATTCTCATTTCTTAGTTTTATTGTGGTTTGTGGAAAGGATGTGGGTTGATTGATCGTTAGTGTAATAAGCCATAGCATCTGATTGTTCACCAGTGAAAGAACAGCTTTTAGAGTAAAGGACATTTAATTTCTGTCTTAAATGGTGATCTTCAGCATGGCCTTTGATAATAACTGTTTTATTGCAGCCTCAGAACCTCAGACTCTACCACCATCACAGTCAACTCGAGGCAATGAATCAAATTGCCTTTGATGAGTGAAAAAGAAACCTCTTCCTTTAGTACCCTTTATGTTCAATTTTGTCCTTAGCTTGGGCTTTTTAAAAATTTCTTAATTGTCCTTCAGGTCTTTATTTCAGCCATTTTGGTCAGAAGATACAATCTTCGCTTGTGCTTTACTAAGCAGAGGTTCTGAAAACCGTACTGATTTTGATCGGACACATTCTGTGTCATCCTCCTTGTATTTGAGTACTGTGTCCTGAGCTTATTTTAACCTAGCTGTTTCCAGGGGAGAACCTTGGCTTACTTCTTTTTGTAGACATTTTTGTGTTTTCACATTCAGAGGTGTTTATCTTTCAAAACTAACATTCGCAGATTTTCTTGAAAAGTAGTAGGATCTTTCCAGATCTAAACATCCTGATGTG